CCTGCTGGGTTTCTATGCTGCCTCTGTTCTCTAGGTATGGTTTGGAAACTTCCAGAGACAGGCCATTATGGATGCGTAAAGATCTGCCTTTGGATGAGGCGCCCTGTAAGTTAGGGGCATGGGCTTTAGCTCAGGGTCTTGCAGCCTCACTGACGTTGAACGTGGGGCACACTCCTCTCTGCCTGGCAAACAGAAAGCCAGCCTTTAGCCAAGTCTAGACCAAAGGGGGCTAGCAGCTCAGTGTTAGCGACCAACATTAGGTGTCCTCCCTCTCAGCCTTCACACTGTCTCACTGAAGGATTCTCCTCAGAAAGACCTGTGTGCTTCTGGGAAAGGGGAGAGTTTCCTGAGGGGCTGCAGATCCTACCACCCTAGGTCTTTCTGTGCTTCTCTGCACCCCACCTTCTCCACTCCACTCCCCACACACACATTACTCACAGTCTGTGACAGAACCAAACCCGTTTCTTCTCTCCACTCTTCTTAAAACATACAGAGCTGCAGTCTAGTTTTCTTAAAAGCTGCCAACTTACCAATCAGATAAGTCAAACTATTTCTGTGCCAGTGAGAAAGAACCAGAAAAAGACCCAAAGGAAAAAAATACTTACTGTGTTTGCAATACAGTAAGTCCCCTACATAGGAACCTTCAAGTTGCGAACTTTCAAAGATGCAAACGTGCCCAGAGAAAGGATGAAGAGAGACAAGAGGAAGAAGTAACTGAAGAATCAAAGAGATTCATGATACAGGAAATGGCAGGGGATTTTCTTGACTTGAGGAGGCACTGTTAGTTTTTCAGGCACAGGATCCAAACCTAGAATGGTACACAAAGGTTGCAGCAGCTGTTCAAAAGGCAATCCAGTGCTACCGTGTCATCTATGATGAGAAGAAAAGAGCTACTACCCAGACATCAGTGGATCATTTTTTCAAGAGGGTAGATAGAATTAAATCCAGCAAGGAACCAGAACCTGTGCCATCAGCGTCAGGCATAAGTGACATGGCAGCTTGCCCGCTGTCTCCTATCACTGACGATCCTTCAGCTTTACCATCTCCTACCTCCTCTCCCTCCTCCAGTCAGTAAGTTTTCTTGCCTTTTCACTCGATGCCAGCCCCTGGATGCCAGCTGTTGTACTGTACTACTGTACTTTTCAAGGTACTATACTGTCTCAGTCCTGGCTCCACTGCCTTGGACAAGTTCTTGTCACTGCTCCCAACCTGTTTTCTCACCTTAAAAATGGGCTCTTGGTAATATCCTCTTTGAAGGTATTTATGGGAATTAAGTGAGATAAGAACTGTTTTATTGTTACAAGATGTATCTGAGTTCTTTACTCCATTAATAAACATCCTACACATGAAGACACACTAGTAATGTGTTTCTGCAATTCAATGTCAGACTCTTGCCATATAATCTAATGTTTCATATAATTATTTTACATTTTTAAAATAGCCCTCATTTCTTTAAAATTAGACACTTTCATGGTTAAATCTTCTAAAATATACCAAGTATGTCTCTGCTAGCTGAACTACTCACTATTAAATACTACTTACCTTCTTTTCAGGATGGTCTGGGGTCCTTAACATAAATCAAGTGTTCCTGTGAAGGGAGCAGGGACCAATATCTTTAACTTCTATGTGCTGAGTAAGACATCGCACTCTCCCATTAATGATTAATTGTCTAATGTATCACTCACAACAACTTTGCAGATTGCTTCAGTTTCATAGATGAGAAAAGTGAGGCTCAGACAAGTTAAGTAAAATACTGATGGCTACTCAGCTAGAAGGCAGTAAAGACTCAAACCCAGATGGAGTCCCAAAGCCTTAGCTCCTCGGTACCCCACGGTGAAGTCACATCCTCCACTTAAGGATGGAGCGAAGATGTTTTAGTTGTATAACAAATGCTACTTTGTTCTTGTATCTGAACTCCATAGTTTGTCTGGATTTCTACCTTTGCTGTTCAGTCGTTCAGTTAGTTACTTAGTTTTTGGCTTCTTGTCTATAAGGAATTCTTGTTACTTTTTGGTGCTTTTAACATGTCCTACCCCAAGAAATTAATTAAACAAACCTCTTATGCTTATGTCTAAAGGCCAGTTAACTGTAAGTGAGCCTCTGAGATGTTCTCCCATAAGTGAGGTGGGAAGACGTAGAGACTCATTCTTCAGTTACCTGGCGGGTCTTTGGCTTCCTTTCAGCTCCCCAGCTGCATTTCAGATAATTGAAGTTGTTTTATTTATGAGCTCTGAACACAGCAGATACTATTATCCAACATGGACCTATATCTATTACAAAACAAAATGTTACATGGTTACAGTAATCACTGCCAGCTTCTACTAAATGCCTTCTCTGCCCCACTGTTATTTTATAGACATTGCCTCTCTAAAACTCTGGAGTGTAGGTGTTTTCTCCATTTTACAGATGAGGAAACTGAGACTCAAAATTTCCACACCTGGCCAAAGACATTCTGTGAATAGTTCACTTCACGTCAACATGGACATGTTGAGCATGGAAGTCTGATTAAAGATCTATAAGCAATATCTAACTTAAGAGAATTAGGAACAGTTTCCCACTGTGTCAAACAGGCAGCTCTAATAAAGATGCCTGGAGTGGTCCAGCCTGGGAGGCACTGGGCAGAGCACCTGCATTGCACACCTCCAGGGGGCAGCCTTGAGTTGTGTTCAATCCGGAGGGTACTCCCAACAGCACACACATTGTACAGACAGCTGGAATGGTGCCCTGGGACTGCAGCAGAGATGAGGACTCTCAGGTAAACAGCAATGAAAAGCAGCACGGGAAAGATCAGACATGAGACAGGAGAAGGACAGGGTGTTTCCTGGGACTGGGATTTAAAACAATGGTGACATGTTCTCAAGCTCCCTGCCTTTCTCTCTGCAGGGCGAGGAGAACTTAACGCTGCATATCACATACCATTCTTTTTGGCTGAGATGGGTAGACTGCATTTAACTAACCAGTGTCAAAATCCAGGTCGAGTTTTTAATTGCCTAATAAAGTGAATTCTCTACAAACTCCACTCTGTCTGGAAGCCTCAAACAAAGGTGATCCAAATAAGTCACAGGCCTTTGTCCCGCAGTCCTTTTTGCCTAAGACTCTTTCTCAGACATTAGCCCATGGACTGGGACAGTGTGCCAGAAGGGGCCAGCAAGCCAGGAACTCTTCCCAGGCCACAAAAGCTCCGCGGATCTGAGAGGCCTCATAAAAACCAGCCAAGACTGGAACGCAGGTCTGGCTGTATTTGGTCACCGTCCCGGATGGTGGCGGGGCAGGCATTATGTCACATCTGGGAGTTTTTCAGCCCACACGTGGGGTAAATCTCAACCACAACCTCTGTATGTGGTAGCTTCAGATGGAAACAGAAACTAGTTAGAAAAATGTGATTCTTGCGCAGGGAAGTCGGAGCACAGAAGAGTTCAGAAGTGG